GACAGTGCAGCCTAGGCGGAGTAGTCGAACGCAAATTCACTGAGCGCTCAACACAGACAGCATCGTCAGAAGGAAAGTTGATAAAATAAATTACAAATTTTGTATTGTTCATACATATGCGTACCGAACCGAAAGCACTGTATCGAACGGTTCAATATCGATATGAGCAGCGTTGCACCCCTAATATATATATATATAGATATAGATATATATCTATATATAGATATATATATAGATATATGGCACCTAACTACACTGGTAGTTAACTACACTTTATTGATTGAGATCAGAAGTTTGTTCCGCAATAACACATACCTGTAACTCTTCCATCAATAATAATTTGAATGTTTTTGTCTTTTGTTCAAATCTCAGGGTGGCTGTAGCTCAGGTGGTAGAGCAGGTCATCTACTGATTGGAAGGTTGGTGGTTCGATTCCCGGCTTCCCCTAGTCTGCATGCCAAATATCCTTGGGCAAGATACTAACCCGAAATTGCTCTCCGATGCATTCATCGGAGTATGAATGTGTGTGAATGTCAGTTGTGCTTGTGTGAATGGGTGAATGCACAAGTTGTGTAAAGCGCTTTGAGTGCTCAGAAGTGTGGAAAAGCGCTATATAAGAACCAGTCCATTTACAAATCATTATTTTTATTTTTGCTTTTTCCAGTTACCTTTACTTGTAACTCGTGGAGGCCATTGAAATTAAATTTCCAACAATAAACTAAGCGTGAAGTTAAAAGGGAAAGTTAAAAGTTTTGTCTCTAACCATTATTAAATAAATTAATACACAGTATGTCAGATCCACAGAGATGTCTTCAGCACTCACCACACAGTGAAAAGATGAGCATGAGGAAGCCCAGCATTGTGGCAGACAGCATGCAGGATGATGGAGGTGGATGGAGGAGATGAGGTGTCATTCAGGAACATCCAGAAAAAGTTCAGTTTCAGGATTTGCATTAGATGTTGTGAGGCACAGGAGTCAAAATTATCATTGAAGGTCCTCAGCTGATAATCATTAAAATGGCAGTTACGAAGTTATGAATGCACAGTTTTGCATTCATAGACACAGTTGTATATATCCAACTACAATGAAACTGTAGTTGGATATATACAGGTCCAGTCTGACCTAGATCAGCCTCAGTGTACAAAGATTTGCAGCACCTGTAAAACAAGATCAAATTTGGAGCTTTCAGAAAAATGTAAGGCTTTCGTGTACAATTTGGGTCAGTTTAGAACATTTTGGGGAGTTTTATACTAGCAAATGTCAAAATGGGCCAAATTTCATTTGCTCTACCCATGATCTCTTGCAATGGTGTTGGACATTGCAAGATTAACAGTAACTCCAAAATGGGATGTTCGGGAATTATGGGAAGAGCGTCTTGAGTTTTCCTACTTTCTGACTCTCAGTATTAAAACTATTTATAAAATTAAGTTAATGTTCTGTTCAGCATGATAGGAAACCACTGGCCGAGCTAAAAACACTTTTTGTATTAAACAGAATGGAGGGATAAAGCACTTCTAAGTTTACTTGACATATTGTGAAAATTACACACTTTCTTTCACAGCTTGCACTGCTTTAAAAAATTGCATTTTTGATATACAGACAATTACTCGCAAGCCAAGCAGCTGCCAAACTCACCCAGTGATCTATGTCCAAATCAAATATTCAGCTTGTTGGTTAAACTGTCAGATTATTCCAAATACTTTTCCAAAGTTATCCCAAAAGGTCAAAATGTGAATACTTCTCTGCTCCACCTTTTCTTTTTGTGCATATATACTGAATCAGAATGCTCAAACTTTTAATTTGGGCTGTAATTCGTTAGTCTGGGTCTGGTTAATTAACATAAGGAAGGAAATATGGGATAAAAATAGGTTTCCTATCCACGCCACTCCCAGATCCTTATAAATCTTAAAGGGACATCACCCTAAACCACACAGAGACTAGCTAGGAGACTGTGCTTCATCCTGAATCCCTTAAATGGTTAAAGTGATACATTTATGCAAGAAGTGCATGTTCCACAGCCGACACACTCAGGGAATTCTGTGCTTCCCCAATTGACCATCTCACACTTCCCCACATGAATCCTGCCAGGAGTTTAAATTCCAACATTAAATAACTCTCTGACTGATGCTTGCAGACACTTACTGTGTGATTGAAACGATTAACCACTCAAAATTATTTTTTTACAGCTTCAAATAATCTACTTTATTTAACTTGTTTAGGTTGCAGTAATGCCATCCAACATACACATCCAACGTTTCAAGACTGAAAATCAGCTTTAAGGAAAAACAAGTAAACCATAAATGAAATGCAAGACAAATAGTTAGGTTACAAATGTCATTAAGCTGCAGTTCAGATGCAGCAAGTGTCCTAAGCATTTGCACTGATTGATGTCAAAGGGATCTCGTAACCAACTGGCCCTTTGTCAGGAGAAACAGTGTAATGACCATGTTTTTTCTACCATTTGTAAACGTGGATTGTCTCGGTTATGTTTCTCAGACAATTGGCAGTCTTGCAATTTACTCACATGCTATTGAGACTATTCGTGTTCTTTAATCTATGCTAACAATTTTAATTAAATATCTCTCTTTCTGTATAGACAACCAGGATGTTTACTTGCAGTCTGCTGAAACTCTGTGTGTTTGAGAAAAAACGTGACATTTTGGTCTGTATGGGCCAAAGTCCAGCTGAGCTTCACATATCACATCCCATCTCAACTAAATTTTTCTCTTCTGAGGTTGACTCAATAGAGGACTCATTTACTGGTGTTTTTATTGTGTCATTGAAAGATTCTGTCTGCATTTTTTACATTGTTTTTGTACCAGCTAACAGTCAGGTATTTGTCAGAGCAACAAATACCTAGTGTTAATGATGTCACACTGCAGCCAATTCTGTGTTTCTTCTCCCATCACATTCACATGCTGTACAGAATCATCAGCTTCTGGATTCTCTGGCAAACAACATTAGATGAAAAACTTAGTTACTTATTTTAATAATTATTAACTTTCTCTTTGCACTGTATATATTTAAAATGAAACTTACTAAATACAATAACTTGAAAGTCCTTGCTGACTTCGTGAAACTCATTTAACTTTATTTTGCACTTGGCCTTCTCATTCCAGTCTGACAGTGGCACTGAGTGGGAGATAAACATTCCTTCATCTTCGATCTGAAAGATTTCATTTCCAACTGTCTAGTACATCCACTCATGTTCATCCAATGTGATGGTGCAGTTTACAGTGAGAGGTTTTCCTTCATATTCTGCTATAATCTCAGGTGGATCCAGAATAAAAAGGTTGTTCTTTGTTATGCATGTGCTGTAAGCATCTGTAAACCACCAAGACCGATATTTTTATTTGGATACAAAAAGTAAGCTTTGCTCCCCTTTTATGGTTTACACCAGTAATGCATGTTTCTGATGTTTGGATTATAGCCCTTGTCCTCTGGTTTCAAGCAATAAACGTATAATGGACGTATCTGTGATTTGACACTCTATTGTTTCACTGTAAATAAATTAAAGAAATAACATGAATTGAAGAAAGCTACTATTGAAGCTAGAGATTTAGTTCAATTCAGTTCAATTCAAATTTATTTATACATGCCAGATCACAACAACAGTCCCCTCAAGGGACTTTCTATTGTAAGGTAGACCCTACAATAATACATAAAGACAAAAAAACCCAAAACATCTATCATATGACACCCTATAAGCAAGCACTTTAGCAACAGAGTGAAGGAAAAAGTCCCTTTTAACATGAGGGGGAGCAGCCCAAGCAGAGAAGCCCAGACCTCCTTCTCCTCGGCCACCTCCTCCAGCTTGTCCAGTGGAACCAAGGCGTTCCCAGGCCACCCAAGAGATATAATCTCTCCAGCGTGTCCTGGGTCTGCCCCAGGGCCTCCCAGTGGGACATACCTGGAATACCTCACCCATTTTTTTTTTTTTTTCTGACTTGTATTTTCCTCCGTTTTCTATCTCTTACTCAACATGTGGATTGAGAGAGTTTTTGTTCTTCTGGTGGCCGTGGAACTGTTACTTTTATCAAGGAACGGGACCGCGGCACATCTCCTACACGCACGGACTGTTTACTCCAGAGATCAGCTGATCGCCCTGATGCCGGC